CAGAAGTTTAGAAACTGTATGCTGTACTGCTTGGCATTCATGCCAGAAGCTCCAATATGAATATTTCAGAGCGTTTGGGTGTCAATTTGAGGACAGTGCAGAGGATTTGGAAAAATTCAGATGATATATCTAGTCAACATCATGGTGTTTGGAGTGATCACTAGTGATGGCAACATTATACCTCCATTCATCTTCCCACATGGCTTCAGACTCAACATGGCGGCCTACATCAAGTGCCTTGAGGAAGTAATGCTGCCCTGGGCCAAGAAGGTGGCTGCTGGAAGACCCTATATCTGACAACAGGACTCTGCACCATGCCACACAAGCAGGAGAACCCAGTCATGGCTGTCAGATAATTACTGCAATCACATCACCCCTTTACATCTGGTCAATTAACTTCCCAGCCTGCTACCTCCTTGATTATTATGTGTGGGGTGCAGTTGAGCGAGAAGCCAACAAAACTCCTTGTAACACCAAAGATGAACTGAAGGCAAGGATTATGGCAGTATTCACCAACTTACACAAGGAAACCACCCAGTAGAGTTGCAAGAGATTCCTAAGTCATCTTCAGGCCATGATTGAAGCCAATAGCAATTTTATTCAATAAATTTACACTGTAGTATTTCAAGATATTAGGTTTATAAGTCCCCAAAATTCATACACTGGTGTCCTCAATGACACATGGTCCAATGGATAAAAGCATTGGTTGACTCCAGTGACTTGACTCAAAGAATTGTGAGTTCAATACAGCTGAAGTGAACAAAAAACTTGGATACTGAAACATCCAGAAGAGGCATGGCAAGTGGAACTAGAACAATCTAGCCTGGCAAATGAAATAAAGGGTTAAGTAGGCTGAAGTAGGCTGGAGTGTACAATGGCCAAAACATTGTGAATATATCAACAAAGATGAGGACTAGAATCCAAACAATGTAAATAATGCAAAGAATTTTTTTTTCTTTTCTGTTATTTCCTGGTATGAAATCCACATTTAATATATATAAAAACAATATTTATTTGCTTCTTGATATAGTTTCAATTTTATATCAAACTTGCACTTGGAATATGACATTTTTTTTTTATTGCATGGTAACATATACTGTATGCAAATTAGCAAGTGATTGCAACAATAAAATTACTTGCAAGTGTTGCTAGAAGAAAAATAGCATTTGAATAAATACAAGCAGATAGTTTTTGCTTGTTTAATGGCATATCAACACTTTATGGGTCATTTAATGCTAATAGTAATTTCTTTTACAAAAATGTATTGCTGGTAATTTTTTTTTTTTTTTTTTTTTAAGTGTGTTGCTGATAATATATTTTTTCTTACAAAAACCATATTTCTGGTAATTTCTTCACTATGAAAAGGAATTGCTGGCACTTCTACTTCAAAAATATATTTTTATACTTTCATACTGTTTGGACACCAGTTTGGTTGTTCACTATTTGCTCATAGGCTGGTAGCAGATGCTACCAGCTATGAGCCAGGGAGGACCTGGGAACAACAGCAATTAAGTGGTTCAATGATCCTCAAAACCTCCAATCTCCCAATCAGAGGCTTGCTGCCAGATGTAGTTTATCATCAATCAAACCCAGAACAGACAAGTAGAGAGAATACACACCAACATACAAATGCACTGAATGACTGTCATGTTTGCACAAAAGAACAAAAAAGGATGTAAAATGAAAACTCATTTGGCAAGGTAAGCAATTGTGTTTACACAATCAAGAATTCCTTCCATTTCCAGCTGAAATTGTGTAACATTATTAGAATGAGAATAGACAAAGAAGATTTGGTTGTATTTTCTACTATTCTGCCAACCAGTTTTGATGTCAGGTTCTTAAGAATATCAAAGAAAATACAGCAACATTAGAAATCACATATGGGGTGGGGGTCATCAATTATTCAGACTAATAATCTTCTCCAAAGCAAAATTGTTTCTGGAAAAAAAATTAAAAATTTGATCTTATTTTTATGCTTGCTTGAATATCAAATATTTGACATCAGAAAATCTCTTTTTCAATGCTGTTAAAAAACATTCACAAATATATTAATAAACAAATAAAGAGGTGGAGGTTATGAAAGGCCTTTTGAAATGTCAAGAAAGTATATTTTTAGTAAATACTAATCAGCAGTTTATATAGCATGTTATATATTATCTGACATAAATGACCAATGAGAGGAAGACTTTGTTCAACAATGAAAAAGAAAAAAGTAAAGGAAAAAGAAAAAAGTAAAGGAAAAAGAAAAAAGAAAAGGAAAAAGAAAAGAAAAAAAAAAAAAAAAAAAAAAGAAAAAAAAAAGAAAAAGAAAAAAAAAAAAAAAAAAAAAGAAAAAGAAAAAAAAAAAAAAAAAAAAAAGAAAAAAAAAAGAAAAGAAAAAAAAAAAAAGAAAAAAAAGAAAAAAAAAAGAAAGAAGAAAAAAAAGAAAAAAAGAAAAGAAAAGAAAAAAAGAAAGAAAAAAAAAAAAGAAAAAAAAAAAAAAAATAAGAAAAAGAAAAGAAAAAAGAAAAAAAAAAAAAAAAAAAAGAAAAAAAAGAAAAGAAAAAGAAAAAAGAAAAGAAAAAAAAAAGAAAAAAGAAAAGAAAAAAAAAAAGGAAAAAAAGAAAAAAAAAAAAAAAAAAAAAAAAGAAAAGAAAAAAAAGGAAAAGAAGAAAAGAAAAAAAAAAAAAGAAAAAAAAGGAAAATAAAAAGAAAAGAAAAAAAGGAAAAAAGAAAAAAAAGAAAAAAAAAAGAAAAAAAGGAAAGAAAAAAAAAAAAAAAAAAAAAAAAAGGAAAAAAAATGGAAATATAAAAAAGAGAAAGGAAAAGAAAAAAGGAAAAGAAATTTTTTTTAAATTTCAATCATGTATTTAAATAATCTGTAAAAGTAAAGTAAAAACATTTAAAAAGTCAGCAACAAATTGAAGTTTTCATATTTTGTCATTATAAGAGAAAAATGCAGAAATTACCATATTTATGTGTATAATAAGAAAAATATTACATCAAATATTAACCCAAAATTACACAATGCTGATATTTTAAAAATACATTGACAACACAAAGCATCTCATAACAAAATTCATAAACTCTCCACAGATATTAAAAGGAAAATACAGACCCCTGTTAAATCTAATGCATTTAATAATATATGCCTTAAAAAAAAAAAAAAAAAAAAAAAAAAAAAAAAAATTCCCACTTGATTTTATATTAGGTTTTGCTTTTTTAAACGACTATCTTAATCTGCCCCCAAACCACTCAATTCACCTTAGTATACTTCCGTTTGAGAAAGGATAATGATAAAAAAAAAAAAATTCTTTAAAATCATGAATGCTAAGTCATATTTGATAAACAATAATTATTTCTTTTCAAAAAGAAGAATTTCTAATATTCTTCTCACCCACCTCAAGTAAAAAGGCGCTTCACAGATTTCTGCCGAGAAACTGCAGAATACAAACCTGGCATAAAAGGCTATCCAAATGATGTAATATCTGAGTCACCTGCCTAACTTAGTATTTGCAATTCTAACACTATCTTCAAGCAGCAGATTGCTGAGGTAGTAGATATGTCACTTGCCTGTTTACCTCCAGGTTGGAGGTTCAAATCAGGCCAGGATTCACTTGTTAATTTTATAATCTGTTTGCTTCTAACAAAATTTTATCATGACAAAAAGAAAGAAAAAAAAAGTAATTTTATGATTAAATTTTGCTCTTGTCAAAATATCCTTTTTAGCCTTGGTTACTGCAGTACAAATTTTTGGCATTTATTGCAAAAGTTTTTCGAAATATAAGTTTGATAACTGATTCCATTCTTTTTTTTTTTTTCAGTGACTAAGAGCTCTTTTTCAGTCTTTTTTTTTTGTTAGGCAAATTAATGACAATGTGGAAAAAATTTTGAGTGACATATTTCTTCCTTTAGGATTTCATAGGACTAAAGTATTGCTTTTCTTCAAGGAATTATGTGTGTGTGTATAACGGGGAGGGGAATATAAAACCACAAGCATTGGTTTGGTTAGACACAGAAATGTTGAAATGTTGAAATTATATATATATATATATATATATATATATATATATATATATATATATATATCTTTCTTGATCTAACCAAAAAGCCATGAAAAAACAAAAAGTCAGAACTTAAAAGTGAGTCAAAACCTTTTTTAGTACAAGTATGTGTATGTGTGTATTTCTGTCCATGGAATCCAGGTTCAAATCCCACCAGGATCAAATTTCGCAGAGATGCGACTTCTTGATGCTATCAAGCCTGGAGAGGTGATTCTAGTGTGTGACACAATTGGAAAGGGCCTAAAAACCACAACACAGGTTGATCCAAGCCTTGTGAGTGAAATTGAATACATGAAACTGTCCAGAAGCTGTTGACAATTGTGTTAACAGAAAGTTACAAGTCATGACAGAGAATTTTAGAATACTTGCCTTGTTCAAAACGTTGAACATGAAAGATTATGGGCTCTCTCCCAGTAACTGTAACTAAAGTCTGCTCAGCATAGTTGCTGTATAAACCACAGGTGAGCTGTGGGTGTTGAACAAACACAAATGTGCCTGAGCGTGCATCTGCAACAAGTAGTGACTAACCACCCTAGCAGATGGGTGTGCTCGGAAACAAGTAGAAAGTTATTATAACAGACTAATAAGTAATTCAAATGAGTTTTTTCTTCTATTTTTGCCATTTTAATTACAATATCTATAATCTAAAAATTATTAGTTGAATTTTATTTGGAAGTTTTCCTTTTTAAGTATGTTCAATCTATGGGAGCTTAATATTAATATTCAACATAGAATTAAGTGCCTTAACAGGGAAGAGTGGAAAGTAAATATTTGCTACATTAATTGTTTTTTATTATTTCATTATCAGGCTATAGAGTTACTGATGTACCTGTGTGTTTGTGTGTAAGTGGCTTGAATTTCTTCCCATGTGATGCATATACATGTATGTCTAGGCAAATCTAACTAAGACAACAAATAAAAATGAATGAAAAGAAAATAGAAGATTTAGCAACTCACTTCCTGTACTCTCAAAGAGCACCTTGTCATTAAGCCCGAGTCTCAGTTCAGGCATACCAGACAGGTAGACACGCATCTTGATGCAGCCAACAATCTCACTGCGCAGCACATTGCCGTTAGCACTCACCTGCAATAGAATACATAGGATGTTACCAACTTCTTATATAAAAAGATAACCTTTTGTTTTTAAATCTTTGTCAGCATCTCCCTCTCTCAAACTGTAGATACTAACTCAGTTTAATCTGGTCAGAAACAAAAACATAACAGGTGTTGGGGGGGAACCAAGTAAGTCCTAAGCTCACTAACAATAGCTTGTGAGTATGCTTGTTTACCATAGCTCTACAGCGGACACTTAAAGTAGATACTGAATAAGCTTAACTTAATCTGGCACAAGGTCAAAATAATAAAGGCAACCACTAGACAGTTTGCAATACCAACTTGCTTAGTCTGGCACAAGGTCAATAACAAAATTTCCAGTAGAGATTAAACTCACTAGCAATACACATACATAGCCACACAAGTACACATGTTTGTAAGGATTTACAGTTCCCTATTATTTCTTAATTTTTATTAACATTATAAAAAATTATCATTGTGTATTTATATCTTTCATGTCACACTCTATAACGGAAAGGGGGATAAATCAACTTAAGGTAGTGAATTTATGTATGGTTACTTCCCTTAGTCATTCCTCTATTTAATTTTGAATTCTGAAACTCCATTTTATTGCATCTCAATACATTGTTTCAAAACTTTTGTTTCATTTCAATATTAAAACTTCCTAACAATTGCCTTCATTACATTCAGGTACACTAGTTAAGAAATAATAGCTTAAAATGTACTTCAAATTACCTGCTCCATTAAACTGATATAAATACTTTATTTCCATAAACCCATTAAGTGCAGGTGCTGGGGATTAAGACAATTCAATGGTTAAGAGAGACCCTCTACCTTTATCAAACAATTATTTACCTCTTGGATTTATTCACGTCCAGTTTCTAAATGACCAATAATCCAGTCCTTCTAAAGGAAATTAATCAGGAGATTTGAGCAGCCAGGACAAAAAAGTACTTTTACTAATGTTGCTTTTGGTTTGAAGTTTTACAAACAGGGATTATTATTGACATTACTTGCAATTAGACTAATATCCTCATCTTTATTAGACTAATATCATTATCTTTATTATTATTAGACTAATATCCTCATCCGCATTATTATTAGACTAATATCCTCATCCTCATTATTATTAGACTAATATCCTCATCCTCATTATTATTAGACTAATATCCTCATCCTCATTAGACGAATATCCTCATCATTATTATTAGACGAATATCCTCATCATTATTATTATTAGACTAATATCCTCATCCTCATTAGACGAATATCCTCAATTGACGAATATCCTCATCCTCATTATTATTATTAGACTAAATCCTCATCCTCATTAGACGAATATCCTCATCATTATTATTAGACGAATATCCTCATCATTATTATTATTAGACTAATATCCTCATCATCATTATTATTAGACGAATATCCTCATCATCATTATTATTAGACTAATATCCTCATCATTATTATGATGATCTGATAGTGGAAGGAGGATTCTAAATGCAAATAATGGAAATACCATTGTTGCTTTTATCATCATTATTTCTAAAATATCAGTATTTGTCTTGTCTTCAAGCAAAAGATTTCCCCTTAAAATCTTAGACCATTTTGACATTAACTTTTACCTATATTTCTGTACTTGACATTTTTTTTTACTATAGGAGGACATTCTGAAAAATTAAGTGATTAAAGTAAATAAGAAAAAAAAAAATTCTTTTTTTTTTAATGCCTGGTGACATGATCAGATTTAAGGAAATGAATCAGACCAAGAATTTATACATCTTATTACTATAAATGTTATCTTAAGTCAATACACATGTTTGAGCTACTATGTTCTATTTTCTGAAACATTGAAATTAATCACTATACCAAGTGAAACTGCATTCATCTCCTTGGTTCTCACCTGCATGCTTGGCTGCTATAGCCCACAGGAATCACTTCTTCCAGATGTACTAGAGTCTCTGCTTGTAATGAGTGCAAGCATGTCGTCAAAGAAGCAAGTTACTGCTGGCTGATAGAATGAAACAACATATAGCATCTTGCAAGTTCAGTTCTAGAGATTATTAGTTGCTCTGCAAGAGCATGCTGAACAACAGCAAATCCTCAATCCTTCCCCTATTCAATCAATTCAAAGTCTTGATATCTACAGCATATAAGATTATGCTTTGCTCAGAAATTCTCTTCCAACTCAACACTCAACTCATTTGGAGTATCCACACCTAATTTATCTCCTAGTACAGAGGCTTTACTGAGTGGGATGCACATAACCCTATCACTGGTCACAGACATCATTTCTAAATTAGACTCCAATAAGGCAAGCAGAGGTGACAAGATGCCAGCCATCATCCTAAAGAAATGAGCTCCCAAGCTGGCTCCAGTCCTCTCCAAATTCTACAACTATTGCCTCACTGCTTCCTAGCCTGTTGGAACTTCTCTGAAGTTTCTGTTTTTAAGAACTCTGGAGAACCTTCTGATTCCACTATTGACCTATTAGTCTCCTACTGCTTCTTGGTAAAGTATTTGAGGATTTAATCAATGTTGAAGTGGTTAAGCATCTTATCTCTCATGGTCTACTCTCTGACAAACAATATGGCTTTCATTTTGCTAGGTCTACTGACGATATGCTTACAGCCATCACTGAATATGTATATCAAGCTCTTGATAATAATGGTAAAGCTTGAGCTGTGACTCTTGATATCTCAAAGGTGTTTGACAGGGTTTGGTACACTGGTCTTCTCCATAAGCTCTGGGGCTACAGTATTACAGGACAATTGTTTGATTTAATCCAATCATTACTAACAAATCATGAAATGAAGGTTGTTTTGAATGGGCTCACTTCCAGATCCTTTCACATAAACATGGGTGTCCTCCAAGACTATCATGGATCCTATGCTGTTTCTGATCTTTATCAACAATCTTCCTGATGTCATCAATTCCCAAGTAGGCATTTACGCAAATGTCACTACCATTTACTCCTGTCTCAATAACAAATTTGTCATAGCTGACAAAGTTAACCTGGCTGCAGTTCTTGAAAAGGACCTCCAAACAGTGGTTAACAGGGGCAAGAAATGGCATGTAAATTTGGATGCCTCCAAAATGAAACTACTCTTATTTAACCACTACAGGGAAACTTTCCTGCAGACATGGCTGATGCTAGACCCATGGAGAGCAACACATTGATGATATTTGACATTACATTTTCAAATGACTTGAAGTGGAACGACTACATCAAATCAAAAGCTGCATCTACTGTAAGGAAAGGTTTTTCTCATCAGAGTCCATCTTGCACATTTACAAATCTCCCATTCATTCGTGCATTGAATGCTCTTGTCATATCCAGTCCAGTGCTCCTGCTATTCATCTCAAGATTCTTAACAAAATCCAAAGAAGGATCAGCAATGTAATCGATCCTGACCTGGCATCTCAACTTCAGTCACTTTCTCACTGATATGATATGGCTCCCTTTTGTCTTTTCTACAAATATTTTCATGGCAACTGATGTGACAGGCTTTTTTCCCCTGGTACCCTGATTACATGAATTTGTGTGTGCTACTAGATTAGCATCTAGGTCCCACCATTTTACTGTTGAAATAGTTAAATGTAACTGCCAATTCTAATCAAACAATTTCTTTTCTCACACTTCCTGCTTGTAGAACTCCCTTCTGTTTACTTGCTTCCCTGAAAACTACAATCTTCAAAAATTTAAATGCAACTTCAATTGCCATCTTTCATCTTCTTGAATCCCATTCAGCTTTTATCCTTTCCTAACCCCCCCCCACTTTACTGAGTCTTTTCTCACTTTCACTCTCTGTAATCCCTTGTGTACTAGTGGCATTCCTGCCTTGATTGGGGGTGAAATTGATTAAAATGTTTGATAAATATCTAAAATTTAAAATTTAAAATATTTATCAAACCTTAACCTCCCAAATATGCACGTTAAAGTAACGTGAACTGACAGCGTCTCGGAATTTGAATGAAACCTGTCGTGTAATTTATTGGGGCTGTTGTAACGTGTCTTCCTTAATGTAGTCCTTATCGCTCACCCCTTAACCACCTTTATCTAGAGACGAGACACGTTAGATTTGAGCAACATCCAGCCGACACACTGGGGTTAAAATAGGAAACTAAAATGATACATATGACACACTCATATCCTCTCTCCCACCTCACTTCCTCAACTTTGCATATACTTGATGAGCTCCGTAAAAAACGTGTGAATTTCTTTTCATTTTTCATTTCAGCTTTTGGAAGTAAAGTCTGATGATCCAGAACCCTGTTAAAGGGGTTCTGGTGAAATAGCTTATTACATGGAATCTTAACGTGGTCTGTCTTTTATTCAAACATATCTGCTCTGAATTTTACATTGAGTTCTCTGGATATCATCCTCCTCAGGTCTACCCATACAGATTACCTAAATTTGCATAAACTCTATATATATATATATATATATATATATATATATTATGTGTGTGTGTGTGTGTGTGTGAGAATTATTTTCAAATAGAGTGTATATGTAAAAGGAACAAAATTAATAAAAAGACAAGGAAAAACTATTCTTAGCCAGCGCATTAAACCCTCTGAAGGACTTTATCAAGGCTCTCTCTCATTCATATATATATATATATATATATATATATATATATATATATATATATATATATATATCTCACTAAATCAGTTTTTATCTCCTATATTTGATATGAGTGCCAAGGTGAGAAACTACTTTAAATTTTTCAACAAATATAACATTGTTTAGAATTTTATTTTATTTTTTTTTTTTAGAAGTGACTTAGTACCATCATGTTTTGTAAAAATAAAAAAACTTTTCCATTTGTTGATATATGCTCCTACCCACCTCACAAGCCACAAGGAAGTAAGGACAAAAGAAAAAATACTGAATATTAATTTTTATTTTTAAACTCAAGTTTCTGATTATTAGCCATGTACATATGTGTGCGTGTGTGTATTCTACTGAATGGTTGGCAACCAAACCAACACCCCTGCACTCAAATTTCTTATGAGTGAGGTAGTTAGTAACTGTGTAGGATGAAAAATAAGACCTATCAAAGGGTGGAAGAATAACTAGCTAACTAGAGGTGGTGCCTCAATAAAATCACTGTGAAGAAGGACAGTAAAACCACTCTACTATCATTTGCAAGAAACTTCTCTAAAAAACCAAAATGGCATGAAGCGGGAGGTGGTTATGTCCACAGGAATTAACTCATCATCTGGTAAGGAGGAACACATGCAACAGGTGAAACCTGACTGTCATCCAGCAACTGTTAGCAAAATCAATAGTATAATGGGGTTCAAACTCCATAAAATTGATCCCTCATTTGGTAAGGGAAGACTCACCTGAATCACCCTGCAACTGTTTGCATCAAACAAAAAATAGTTCTCAGAAATGTTAGAACACTAACAAAATGTGAACAGTTAGTAAATATAAAGCAAAAAATGAATAGGTTAAAAGTTAATATTTTAGGTGTTTTGTAAGTCATAAACACAGGATCATATATGCAGGTGGAGAGAAAAATGAAAGAGGAGTAGGACTGATATTAGAGAAAGACATGAAGAAATGTGTTCTGGGATATTGTACAATTTCTGAAAGATTTCTTGTCATTAAACTGAAAGGAAACCCTTTCAACATATCTATCATAGTTGTATATGCACCGACAGAACAATTGAAAAGTTTTACTGTACACTAAACAACACAAAGATTTAATGCAAATCACAAGAAACTATAATTTTCATGGGAGACGTGAATGCCAAAGTAAGCAAAAATAGAGATGGTGAAATAGTTGGGAAATTCGAACTAGAAACTTGTAATGAATGACGAGAAAAATGGGTCCAATTATGGACAGCAAATGACCAGGTCATAGCTAACAGCTGATTTCAAGAACACCCAAGATGGACATGGAGAAGACCAGGAAGTGAACTAAAAAACCAAACTGACTATATAACTATCAATAAGAGATTCAGGAATGCAGTTTTACACTGTAAAACATATCCAAGTGACAACTGCTAGAACGACCACCTTGTAGTGATATGTAAACTATGGAAATTTAAGAGGACCAATGCAGCACCCAAATTGCAATACAATAGATTCCTGAATGACCTGAATGTGAAAGAGTAATATATGGACAGTGTTAAAACCAGATACAATGAACCAAATGAAAATGGAAATTTGACATGAAGCACATTAAGAGAAGCTTTAGTAACATCAGCAATCAAGATCATTCCAAAGAAAACTAAGAAAAGAAAAAAAGGAATGGATGACAGATAAAATTAACCTGATGAAAAGGCAACAAATAATAAGATATGGTACAGAATATAGGACTTTGTACAAAGAAATTAAAAACAAATGCAGGCAAGCTAAAGAAAAATGGCTCAACAGAAAGTGTGCAGAAATAGAAAGAATATGTATCACAAATAAATGTGATTTTTTTTTATAAATTGATTTAAAAAAAAAAATAAGATATTAAGTCATTCTTTTAAATAATAGATTAAATATATACATATAAAAATGAACGACAACTAAATTAGCTAAAAAGAACTTGAAAAAACCCCTAAAACAAAATGATATCAATAAAAACAAGCTTTTAAAAGTGTTTCATATTACTTGAAATATTAAGGAAAAAAAGCCAAAAATAATAGAGCTTGAAGAAATTCATTTTTTAGCAAATTTCATTTTGAAATGAATATAGACAAAGAAAAATATGTCTGCAATGAAATACTTTTGAAAAATAAACATAAAAATGAATTCGAAAAAGAAAAAAAAATGTAACTAAAGGGCAGTAACTTTGGCGTCATTTAAGACAAGGGAGATAACTTGATCTTTTAATTTAAATGCATTTATACTTTCGACTCATTCACCTTTTTTTTTTAAATCATGTATATGTATTTATATTCCTGTCAAATAAAGTTTCTAAATTAAACAAATAGAAGTTCAAACATTTTCAACAACCCATCAACAACATCCACATTTAAAACACAAATGTTGTTTTCTAGAACTCCCAAACATAAAAATGATCATAAATACTTTTAATCCAGTTTTTAAGCATTAATTTTTTGCAGAGATGAATTATTAAAGTTAATAAATTATTTTCTAATAGAAATTCACTGTTATTTTACATCTAATAATAATTTACTATATTCTCTTTACCATCCACTACATCTCACATTGGTACCTGTCACTTTGCTTTTGGCAAGATAAAATTTCAAAACTTATCTGTCCATGTAAAATATATTCATTAGAAAATATATTATCTTCAAATACACAAGTCAATAAAATGACTTCAAAGAGTTACACACTTTACCTGTTACCCAGGATTAGTCCTCATGACACAGATAAATATTTTAATTTCATTCAAATTGTGTGTGCGCGTGTGTGTGTATATCTTACTTCAATGAGAGACCTAAATTATTTCACCATTTTTTGTTTTAAACTTTAAAATAGGGACTTTCACTGATTTGCTAAAAAGTTAACATACCATGATGAAAAATACCCCAAATGTAATAAAAAACAAAGTTTTATCACCAAAATCTTTGTTATTAAGATGAAAGACCATGGGATTTTTTGATTATTAAATTATATATTTTTTAACCTTTTTAGAATGCTTGAAATTTTGGTTAAAAATCTTTGGGGGTGGGGGGAGCAAAGATGAGTATGAGAAATTTAGCATTATTTTTGATGGGGTGGGCGGGGGTTATGATGGAAAACACTGATTTGGTAATTCTTGCGAAAATCAAATGGTTGTCAGATTTTAATGAAAGTTTAAAAAAAAAATTCTAAAGTAATTTTATTCATAAACAAATGAATAAAATTATTTTAGAAATTTTTTTTTTTAAGAAAATCTTGGTAAAAAAATTTTTTCACCTCTGTTACCCACAGAACTTATTTAACTTATGAAATTTTTAGAAATTAAATTTTGACCAACTTGATGCTTATATGTTAGACACAGAACTCATTACTAAAAATCTCTGAATTGTAAAATAAAAATGCCATAAAATGAAGACATTATTTAATTAGAAAAGTTTTTTTATTGCTTTTATGAATAAAATATATTATGAACACAATTGTCTTAACAAAAAAAAAAAATTTTCAATGAATAATTTTCACAAGAATTGCTCTCATTTTTAAAAATTTTAATTAGAACAATTTTAATTAAAATAGTTTTATATCTTAAAATTCTGTCTTAATATGTCCTGGTTAGGTGATATTGTTATTAAGTAAAAACTATATTTACTTATAAATGGAAAAGCTTATTACAATTTAGCAACTACCAATATTTTGGAAAGAATTTTTTAATTTTGTGCATGTGTGTGTGTGTGTGTGTGTGTGTATGTATAAAAACATGCAGAGTTTTATAAATAAGAATGTCCATGTACAACGTTATCAGAAAATAAGAGCAGTAACTATAGTAAATTTAAAGTCAAAGTACCTAAAAATCAATAAAACAATTACAGAGAATATTTTCCTACATTTTTAAGATTACTGGGTAGTTAAAAAATTATAGAAAGAAGGCACTCATGTAATATTCCTCTTGTAATTTTTACTGATATGTCCCCCATAGTAAAAAATTACATAAACTTCCAGCTATCAATAGAACTGTTGACACTTAAAACACCTACCTGTGTTAAAAAATGCATTTCTATATTTTAAATTAAAAGTAATGTTTCAAATAAGATTAATTAAACTTTAAATTAGCTAATATTACTCAAATAAAGTTTCAAAAAGTATACTTTAGAAAGAATTTTTAATAAAAGAGTGTTGACAAATTAGGACTTTAACCTGGTTAGTACATTTTTATTTTATTTTAGCCATATTTTGGATGTTTTTCCCAATATGAGCAGGTGTATTGTTGAAAAATAAGTTTTATTGTGTTTCCTTATAGGAAAAGACAACTTTTGCTTTTTCTATGACAATTGCCAAAGTTCACAAACAAATTGGATTGAATGAAACAGAGTCAAATCCCAGCAAACATGTTTGCAAGTATCATGCTCATTCAGTATGATGGCTGCCTTCGTACACAAGACACACCCATGCACAAGCCAGTCAGCGAGGAGGAAGAAGTAGCAGCGAGGTGGGCAGAAGAGGCAGGTGGCAACAGCCAACTTAGCTGGATGGCACCTGATGGTGCTATCATGATTCTTTAGCAGTACCTACATATGTGCATGCAAATTCAGATGCACAGAGAATCAGCTCTTCTTTAAGAGTACAGATTTCCCCAAAAAGATGTTAATTGCTGATTTAGAATCATTGTTGATTTAATCATGTAAATTCATGACAGAAGTTACTCAATACTCACACAAACTCATTACAATTGATTGATTGATTGATTTGGTTTTTTTTTACAGCTTAAAAGCAAGAATATATTTTTAGATTGTAAAATTTTTTTTTTTTTTTTTTAGATAATAATGTTTTAATGATAAAAGTCCTTAGATGGGTGGGAGAAGGAGTGGGTTCATGCCTTTCCCAAAGGTATTTGTACATAAGTGAATATAACAAATTCACCAACAGGAATTGGAACTCAACTCTCCGATTAACAATTCTGTTATCCATTACACCACCTACACATTCAAACTTACAGCACCTGGTATTCCCAAATGGTCACCGATCTCAGTACTGACCAAGTTCAACACTGCTTAACTTCAGTGATTGTACGGGGAATCAATGTTTCAATTCGATGTGACCATAAGCCTAAGCACATTACAAGAAATCACAATTGTAAAAATAAAATTAAAGAGAGTTAATATAAATCTTTGTAAAGGTTTTACAACTATCCTGAATATGTGATATTACTTGGCATCCTTATTACAAATACTATTTTCAACAATTTTTTTTGTAACTGGATAATGAAACAACTAAAAAAAAAAATGTTGTCCCTTATATGGTAGGTTATAGTGATAAAATTACAATACTGGAATTAGTGCCATCCTTTTTAGAGCTCATTACAAATGAGCTTTTTGTATTCAAACTTGATGAAAAAATTGTTCAGAACCAACCATCTCCACATGATTTTTAATGAAACAAAGGAATCAGTGAAAAAGTGAATTTCTCACTAGCTGTTAATAGTAACATACTTTTTTTTTACCCTTTGATTATTAATGGTAAATTTTTATTTTAAACATTAAAAAAGGACACACAAAATTTCTTTTAATGTTATAAAATTAGTGAAATATTATCACAATCATTGACTTTTCTGAAAATATTTTGATTATTACATCAATTTTTCCCCAAGTTGATTAAATTTAATGACAAAACTTAATGCTTAACAAAGAGATTTTTAAACCAAACCACTTCAAATAGACACAAATCCTCATTTTATCAACATCACTTATTACTTATTTAAAAAGTTGGTCTCTCAACCAGTTCTTCCAGAAGTACTTTATTTTTTTGAAACAATATATCTTAATATTTTTGTAATGTGCTCTGTTAAATAGAGTCGTCAATGAGGCTGTATCTATAACATCACGATGGTCGAATGAAAGCATTCAAAAATGAAGAATTGAGAACTTACCAATAAATTGACCGATTCAATCACATCCAGGAAAACCTCATTCTTCCTGTATTTGATTCCCTCTGATCTCCATGACACAGCGTTGGTAACAGCCATTGGAGGTCGGGGGGCAATCTCCAGTTTGTGACCTTCTTGAGTGATGTACCTAAAAGGGGAGGACAAAAAGAGACTTAAAATTAACTTCTACTTCCAGTGATGTGGAAACAATTGAAAAATAGTTTGATTAAAAAAAATGTGGGTAGTTTAAAGGTTATTAGCACTGAAAAAGGAAGTAATGTGCCAAGTCCGACTTCTGACAAAGTCTGTTTCACTCACTTTGTAATAAGGATTCCCTTGGAAAAGGCATAAATCTATCTTTCTACAGCTATAGGTAAAATAGCAGAGCAGACTAGACTCTTTCCTTGATTGGCAGCTAGTCTAGGAAAAGGTAAATAGTGAATTCAAATCCTCATTGCATTACAGTTATCTTTGGGAGAAGAAAATACCAAGAAGTACACCCCACACAAATCCGATGTGGAGCCTCTAAGATGGGCAAGATGGCAGACTGTGTCACCTTTCAGTAACTCCTCATCATAGAGTGCTCACTCAGCCTATAACAGAATATGTACTTGCATGACTTAAACATTCTCAGTAGCTCTTTTCAAGGGACAAGATGGAGTTGTGCCCATTTGCTGTCAATGTTGCCCACTTCTTCACTGGGATCTCCTGCCTCTTTTTCCAGAAACCATTCCCACCAACATATATTTTTGATAAGCCTTGTTTCATTTAATGTGACTATATAATTTAAGGGTTTTACTAAATGAACATTTGGGACCAGACCAGTTGAGTCTAGAAAGGTTTGTGTCCTTATACAATTTGTTAGGCAATTGCTGGTCATGAATTGCAGGATGCGATTCAGGAATTTTTCCCCTTTCTTAAGAAGTGTTATAGTTCAGTTTACAGAATCCAGGCTGTAAAGCACTCAGAGAATGTGTGCGTTATTGTAGCTTTGATTTTATAGGGAATACAAGAGAATGTTATGAGGCATTTGTTCTTTTGAAACATTGCCACGCCAAGCAACTCTGCAACTACCAAAACTATTATCCTTTTGTGGCAGTGCCAGCAGGAAGAGCTTTATTTATGAGAAGCTCAAGATCTCCGCAACCTTTACTCAGGCCTGTTCCACTCTGTGCTATCCCACTGTCTCTTGAAAGGAACAGGTATCAACAGAACATAACAGATTTAATAGAAGAATTAACAAAATTAATCAAGCAATGATCTTAACACTAATAAATTAGGAAGTGTAACTCACCACTACAGCCAAAGATTTATTAAGAAGCTTGTGTTTTTTATATTTGCAGAGTAAAAATCAACAAAAGTCACCGACATAAAAGGTTTTATTCAGCCCCCACTCATAATTAAGTATTGTTGATTTTGTACTGAAAGACCTGAATTGAATTTAATTCTTGATCATTACTTTTTTTATAGACAGACAGAAATTGGCTACGGTCATCTCAAATTATAAAGCTCAACATACACTGCCTTCACAGAGAGGAATAGGTTTTATTATATATGATGAATTGGGATCAGATATGGATCGAAATCCAACAGAATGATAGGGTAAAGAACAAATAGGAAACAGATTTGATAGAATTCACTGTCTTTCCTGGAATTTTAAATGCTATAAATTGTATTAATGATGCTTAACAAATGAAATCCATGTGAAGCCTGATAAACCAATGAAAATGAAACAACAGTCAAATAAAAATACCAGAATTTTTTTCTTCATACCTCATTCACTGATGAAGCTTTAATAAAAGTGAAACACATTAGATCAATAACCGTTTCTCATTTGATCTTTATCCTATCCTCTCTCTACACACACACACACACACACACACACACAGTGAGAGACTGTTAAAAGAAAATATTGGCTCATTTATATTTGGAATTATAAAAACAGTCTATAAATGTTCCCAATTTTTGATTTTGAAAACCTGGGCTGTGACTAATTTCATCGTCAAGTGTTAAGTTGGGTTACCACCCTCCTGCTCCACTAACAATCACTAAATCTAAATTCCAACATCACTTTCAGGTTAGAAATTTAATTCTAGGTCAGAATATCTTACCTTTTCCTTTTTTGCATATTGATGATTGGTAGATGCAGGTTGGCCAACTCATCTCACCTGGTTTTTTGATTTTTTTCTGATCTCTGCTTCTTTCAATTTCTTTGCTTTAAGCCTCATTTAATTGGTCAGTGATTTCAATTATAAAGGGCTTCTCTGCTTACCCAGGATTTGTTGGTTGGGATATGGGGATTTTTTTTAGATAACATTAGGGGGTGGGTAAATATTTAACCATGTCAAAGGCAAAATTTCTTCCTGCTAGTTTGTAAAATCTTACCTACTCTAAAGAAAGGTGATGGCCTCTATTGTACAACATTAACTTTCTCATTTAAATCAATATCATTAATTTTGTTTTAAATATCGTCCATTTATTTATTTATAACTCCACTTATGCTGATTGACAGGGTATCTCAAATATCAAACATCAGGTTTAGCCTTTGAATTAGAAGTGTATACCTTATCTAACTTCCCGTAGGCTAACAAATACAATTTAAGCATTTAAATCTGCCTCAAATGTATGACAGATTAATGAATCTATCAAATATTTCTTATTTATATATATATTCATAATATTGACATCAAATATTCTTAGCAGTGAAAGAGAAAGTAATAAACAAATTTAAGGATATATATATATATATATATATATATATATATATATATATATATATATATATATATATATATATATATGAGCAACTCTTAAAAATAGTCTGCCATGAATGCACACTGGAAGGAAAAAGTGCTCAATACCATATAAAATGGCAGAGCTTTTCTAAATTAAGAATCACCTTTCAGGTGTACAGAGTCCGACCACTACTATAAGTTTCATACTTTTATGCAATGGTCAGTGCAAAAATAGAAACCTTTGTCCCCCCAGGCAAGACTAAGATGGAAAAAAAAATAGTTGAGATTGGTTGGTGTGTGCAGTGTGCACTCACTGTCCATATTTTTTTCCATCTTAGTCTTATTATGTATGGGGCGCAGTTGAGTAAGAGACCAACAAAACTCCTTGTAATACTAAAGATGAACTGAAGGCAAGGATTATGTCAGCATTCACCAACTTAAACAAGGCGATCATCCAGAAGAGTTGCAGGAGATTCTGAAGTCGTCTGGAAGCTATAGTTGAAGCCAATGGCAATTTTACTGAATAAATTTACTATTTAAAAGATATTTTTGTATAATTTTGGCAAATATATCTTTTAAAATGAGATGTCTGTATTATTTTCATTTTTGCATAATTTAGACAATTTATCCATTGCACCCTATATATATATATATATATATAAAATATATATACTTATGAAATTTCACTGAAGCATGAAACAGACTGTCACCTCTAGGTTATATATATATATATATATATATATATATAATCTTGATAAATCAACAGCCATTTTATTAATACTTCCCCATTCCTTATCAAGCAATCTATCAATTTCACTGATTAAAGGCAGACAACAATGTAACACTTGAAACAGAATTTCTAAATCTTCCTTAATTGTGAAAAAAATAAAATACAAACTGACTGCTGCATATTTTTTCCACTTGTGCTTCAGTAAGGTCGAATATAAAAAACAAAACAAATACATAGAAGCTATTAAAATCTCAGCCCTCTGTCCTGTCAAGGCTGTTATCTTTAGTCTATGCAAATATAACAACTATTATAAAACAGAGGTTGTATAAAACAAAGCCACCAACAAATGTAAAGCAACAATAATTAGTATTAATTTTTTGATTTGTTTCTTGGATGTTAATTCCTTTTTATTTAAACTCTCTGACAGTCATTACTAAGAAATGTCAATCAGAAATTTTAAAAAATAAAATATCAAAACCCTCTCACTTGTTGGCTATTGTGGCATGTGGGGGATTCCTTACTTTGCTCAATTCAGCAGTAGCAGCAACAGAAGTAATCAGCAGGGTACAACCGGAAGTCCCAGGACCCATAAAAATGCTGACTCTGCCTCCTTTTCAACAGCCTCTACATTCAAGGCCAGTTCTTTCTTTCTTTTCCTCTACAGTGGTGACAACCTTCTAGCCTAGCTTGAAGAGCTACACACAACCCTTGTTGTAAAAGACAAGACTTGTCCTGGCAGCTTGACTTCAGATTTCTTGTTCCTCCCATGGGAACAGGCAGACCCAAAGGAAAACTATCCCTTTGGAAGCCACCCTACCCCCCAAACAAGGAAAAACAAAACATCTGCTCATTTGTTAACTGGGAAATCCAATCCCCCAGGCAAAGTAAACTATTCACATTCTCAAAGCAAATTTGTGGCTTTCACAACACAAAGAAAGAAAATCACTTGTAACACGTCAGGAAAATAACTCACGAACGCCGTAGCCAAAACTGCCCGAATTTTTTTCCTCCCGAGTCGACAACACCAACTGCTTTTATCGGCAGAACCTATTTTTTCCATTCGTCGACAGCCGGGATAGGATGCTCCGTAATTTGCATATTAATACACTCTTATAGCGACTCCTGCGACGAACTTGTTTCTTTTTTACGCTTGGGTTGACGAGGTAAGTCGCTATAAGAGTTTTGCTGACTACTTTTTTTTTTTGGCAATCCCTCCCCGGCAGATCGCACACAAAACACGAACTTTTTTCCGGGGTACTTGATTATCTCGTTCACTACACTCCCCCCTGTCACATAAGTGACACTCATGGGCGGGCCTCTTTATTCTTAAGCTTCTCCGGAGCGGGGCAACTGTGGGAGGAGATTGTGTGTTATGTTCTGAGGTTTCTTCTGATCTGACAACCTCATGCGCAGAGTCTTCATCATCTGAAGAATGTTCTGAAGATTCTTCTTCTGAGGATTCTTCTGGTCTGACAACCTCACGCACAGAGTCTTCACCATCTGAAGGGGTGCTATCCCTACCTCCGATGGTAATTATTTGTTCACTTTCTGAGCACTCACTGCTAGTGTCACTTGTTGACGTATCTGTACCTACATAGTGACGCAAGTCCTTTATGTGTCTTGGTATGCCATCAACCAGCACAGAACGCGAGTTACTTAGTCCAGTGACATGCCCCACCCGGT